GGATATAATTCGAACTCTTCAAAAGAAAGGTGCCAAACGCAAATTTCGGCGAGAATACGGTGCGATTCCACTGGTCGTAGGGAAAACCTCCACCAATCATTGACATCGGGATCGCTCACCGCGTACGTGGCCTCCCTCTGGACTAGGAATTCCCTTGCCGTCTGGTGAAGTAGATATATCTTAGAGTTTTCGATGATTACGAAGAGCCCGCAAAGTTCTCTGACCGTATCGCGAAATCTCGATACTGGTTCCAACTCCAGATCGGCATATGATCTGTGGCTTTTCCTGATAGCCAATGCTAGTGACATCTCTTCCAGAGATAAAGGCCTCTCAGCGGCAACAACGATATGTAGCAGGACTCTAGCTTTATCCTGATCGCTGCTATTACGTAGAATCTTTTCGTAAATAGCCTCAACTGTTTTGGGGATTTTGCGGATGTTTGCCCGTAAGCTCGCTTTTGTGATGCCAATGACGCTACTCATGGCATCAAAGATGAGAGAAACCCATAGATAGGTCCGATTGGGGACTTGTGTAAGCTCATTTTGTAGAATTTCTCGTTCTTCTGGCTCTAGTTGGAGTATTGCACTGAGTTCATTGGCTTTGTGCTTGATGAAAATATCGATCTCTTTGGAGATTTTGTCGACTTCGACTTGGTCCTCTCCGCTTAAGTGAATTGTAGGTAGACGGTTCTCAAGAATTTGAAAATCACGTTTAATACGAACATATGGTCGGCTAGTTAAGAGAATTTTCAAAAATGACGTGCTTGTTCCATTCCCGTAGAACTTGCATAAAGCCTTCGCGAAATCGGATCGCTCGCTCTCTTCGCATTCGTCCAGAGCGTCTATGATAATAATGATTTCCCCAGCATTTTTATCGTCCGCAATTGTGAGGAGAATATCCCAGAGGCTAGCAAACGAATCAGTGAGTGTGTTCTTGTTTACTTCAAATCTTTCGAGGATCTTATCCGAGAGGAGATTAGGCTTTGCATCAAAGAGTTGGTGCAGTATGCAGCACAAGGTGGTTGTCAAACTCCTCTGATCCTCGAAATCGTCCTTAAAGAAGAAGTAACAGACGGTTCTCGTAGGTGTGCTTTGAAGCACATGATCCACCAGATACTTGGTAAGAACGGATTTTCCGCATCCTGGATTCGCGGATACCCAGAGCAAACTCGAAGTTCTGCTATCTTGCCAATTGCGAAAGAGTGGATGATTCGTGAACCATTTACATGTTCCGTTCTCACATTCTGGGTTTCTATCCTTGCGCTCCGCATATGGTAAAACGTCGAGTCTCTCAAAGACTTTTAACATACCCGCGGTCTTGGCCGGTGCTAGGAAACGCGAGTTAGTGACAATCCATTGATTACCAAATTCTGTAAAAATTCAAAATATATGTAGAACTCTTTCATCTGATGTACACGAGTCTCTCCGCCTAGTAAGAGCTATGTTACTTATATGCAACACATCTACGTCAAGAACAATCTGTAAGTACCGCTGACCCTACTTGGAGCTCACTATCGACATGCTCCAAGAACGGACAAGGGAGGAAGGCCTCACTCACCAACCGATCGGTTGAGATCTTTGAGAACATCCATGATGTCCTTCACTCCCGGCTCTTTGACCATCTCTCGATGATCTGCGTCTATGGACTCGAATCTTTCTTCTGGAGCCCAGCCAAGCTTAGAAGAGAAATCATTTACAACCTACAAGATAATCAGCCGGTAACTTCTCGTTGCCTAACGCACCTACTATCAACTTACCTTGTCATTCAGTCCTTTCACTCCAGTCATGGCTTTACCCTCTTGGAATGAGTGAATACGTAAAGGTGCCTGGTATAGTATGTTCATAAAATCGTCCTGGATGAGATCTAGGACCTGAGAATCAACCTGGAGATCTGAAAGCAGTCTCGAGTTTACGTCTACGGGTGCCAAGTTAATCAAGTTGGCAGATAGCTTCGCCCATGAGGCAAGATCACTGCCCCTGTGCGGGGTGCCGCAGAAGACTACAGCTCGAATTTGGCGAAGGAACCGTTTATACGGGCCGCAGGGCTTCAAATGCATCCGACGCATTGCCTGAGAGCCTTAGTAGGGTAGCTAATCATGGGTTTCCGCAAAAGAATACATACGTCTTTGACCACTAAGCCGCCGAGGCTATGCGCAACGATTATAGTAGGAAGCTACGTAGGAGTTAGACCATACAATCAAAAAATACGCTACTGAGTTCCTTACCTCATCTTTGAGAGCCCGCTCCACCTTCACCATAAAGTCTTGCCCATGCTGCAAAATGCTGTTCTTGTTATTGGCCTGGAACAACGTGCTAATGGCATCGGCATTGTAACCATAAGCCCATATCTTGGCCCCAGGCACCTCCGAAGGAAGCAAATCGGCCGGCCAGTAGGTAGTCTCATTCCTATCTGTGGGCCCAGAGTTGTCGGTAAACCCCAAGCCAGCTTCAGCCATAGGATTCGGCGATGAGGACTTATATTTTAGCTTGCGGAACCAATGTGTATTCTTTGTAGGCATTGCATCAAGCTCTGCGCTGGCCGGGATTGTCATATTCTTAGCTGGAGCCGCATACTCCCATGTCTTCCGTGGATGACCACGAAGACCATGCACGAAGAGAATGCTTTCACGAATTAGCCGGTTGGACCTGGGCAAGTTGGGCAGCGGTAGGGATCTCACTTGACCGTAGACGGTGCTTGGGAGACGGCTGCATTAGTACATGGGTGGAGTAGAGTTAGACCGAGGTCGTTGACCTGGACGGCTGTCGCAGAAGGTTCCATTCCTCAATGTCCTCTCAATCGCCCTCTATACCGATGTGCGCTATGTCGTGGGACGATCTGTAAGGTAGCCACCCGAATGCTATCGGGCGCAAAAGTGGTGTTTGGGGATTAAGGATTGCCGGGGGAGAGGCAGTGCAGTTGGTACTTAAAGTAGGTAAGATGGTTATCAATAGGATTATGGTCTGACCAATAGGTACGTCGGAGACCCTACGATCCAGCACTGCCACATCTTACCGACAGCTGAGTTACTTCGTTCTGCATGCCGCATTTACTACAACCTGAAAGGCTTGAATTTATTCTTGGCCAGGTAGTTCTTGAAATCCGCCCCTGCGGTCTTATACGACAGCGCTAGGAGAGGGTGGGAGTGCAACATATCGAGAGAAGCCACTAATGATATAGGTAGAAGGAGGTACACCTATTTTGTTGCGCTTGAATATTAAGGCTGCAGGTTTCGATAACTGTGGCGACACTATTTGTTAGATTACGCCCATAGGTTCTTTTGGTTTAATCCTCCTGGTTCTACTATTATCTCATTAGAGCCTGTGCGGATATTTGTACCAAATGAGTAAAAGGGTGTATTTCTGTCAGGATTGGTAGTTCCAGAGTGAATAGAGCCTCGAAGCAGTCACATAGCAGGTGGGTGGTAGAGGGTCAATAGCCATAGGTAGGTGTAGGTTGGTCAATTGGCCCCTGGCCTTCCAATATCTAAGGGGGGGAAACCCCCCTTATATATAGGTACGTAAGGCCACTATATCCACTATGGTGACTAATACACCTGACAATTTCTATACACTATATATTTGTTTTACTGCCCATACCTCCTTAGAAGTTTATCCTCAACAGTTAATGAACAAGTTAAACTAGTAGGTAAGTCACAGCCACACAGTTAGACAGACCTACGGTTTAATAAATAGTGCTGGAGCAAGTGGACGGCTATCGATATAGTACTACACCCCAACCAGATACCTAGGCTTGCACAATTGACAAGGAACATGTCGCTTCTTAACTATTATTTGGAGAAAGCTTCAGCGAATTGAACCTCCTACATGTAAATTTGAATGACGCACATAGGTTTCCTGCTAGAATAAAAACGCATTACATTGCTGTAGCTGCATTAACCCTGCTAGGATGAGACTTCCTGTCACTGATTGGTACAAAGCCGCCGATTCAACCAATACTGATCACGGTGGTGAGAACAAAGCTGCATGATCTACCTCTTCGTCTTGTTGTCCTTTTCGAGAATTCGGTTTAGCACTGGCATAAAAGAGTTTCTTCCCCAAAAATCGAAACGTCTTTTCTGGCCGCTCCAACCTCTTTAGGACAGTGATGCGCCCAAACTTCTCATCGAGACCGAATCTATGATTTCGCATTGTTATAGTCCGGCGGACGTCAGTGATACCTACCCAACCTCTATATGACTCGGCGCTATCGAGTTCACAAGACAAACGAAAGTTGCGACGGCTAAGGCTGAAACATCAACTCGCCTTATTTGTATTCAGTTTTCTTATTTTGAGCAGGTAGTTTTGGACGTCGCTCAGTCTCCAGCATTCAATTTAAAGAATGTATGAGGGGTAAAACCGCGGCATATGACCCTCACCCCACGTAGGAGCAGATTTCACATTTTTATGTATTGCCATATGATATGGATATTGAGCGTCTATACCATGAAGGGGAAGTCCTGAGATCTTGAGACATAATCTCCCCTGTTGAAAGGTATTCCAATTTTAGGTTTACGTAGAATAGAAACAACATCAAGACTAGTAATAAGTTATGCATATTATATGCATATTGGAATTTAAGTCTTTACCACAATCTACAATATTGGTTGTACTGTCGTGCGTGTGATATCAGGGAAAGGCGTTTGCTACCTGTTATATATATATAGATAAAATTAGCTAACCACTCTAGGTGGCCGGCCTATCCCTTTAGAGACCCATTCGGCACCAGTACTTAAAAGTGGAAAAAAGTGGAATAACGGGGCAATATGCATATCCAATCAAGTTGCCATCCTTTAGGTGGATAAATATTTGATTGGCCATATCTTGTTAGATCTGGCTATATGCATGTCCCGCTTTTCCACTTTTTAAGTACTGGTGCCGAATGGGTCTCTAAAGGGATATAAGGTAAACAGAGAAATTGATTGATTATGCTAAATCAAAAGGCATGCTTAAAAACTCCGTGGGAAAACACAAAAAAGACAGAAAAAATGAATGTTCCTAATTCTCCGAATCGGGGAATCGAACCCCGGGCTTGACGGAACACTGAATCCGAGAATTTGGATCGTGAGAGCGTCAAATGTTAGCCACTACACCAATTCGGATACATCGTGAGGTCCTGCCCACTAGCGGAATCGAACCGCTGATCTTGTCATGACATCTAGTGAATACTAGTGACACGCTATACCACTTAGCCAAGCGGGCTGAATTGTCAAGTGCTGATTGGTGTATCGATTTGGTATTAGGGTCTGTGTTCAATTGCTGCACACTTGAAGAAGCAGGCAATGTTTATCGGTTGTTGAGTAGTCACACCGAAAACAACTTGTATAGTGCAGTCTCATCATCGCCAACTGCTAAGTGAGGAAGGGGTCTGTATGCAGTGGTTTTCTAGCTCCATTTAATAGCGCTAGGTAATATGATTACCGTCTAGTTATGTTACACCTCTGTGTTAGTCATACCTTGCAAAGCCGGCAAGATGGGTACAAATAGCAGCGGACACAACCCTGAAGCGAAGAACTTCATTTTGCGACTCTCATAGTGATTTGAGTAAGTGAAGTCTGATTTTGCCACCAATCATAAAGTCGCAAGAATAGCCATGTCAGCATGCCCAGAAATCTTCGCATGCGATCGCGCGTGAGTCAACTCACTCTAAGGTCAAGACAAGTAGATGAATAAGTTTACCATTATGTCATAACTGCACTGCATGAGTAAGCGCACACGAAGCAACTAGGTCCCGCCTAGTCGCTCGGAAGCCTTCTAGCCCCCTTAGATCCTTGAGACCACATATACAACCCCTCGGTACTCACAGTCTCCAACGTCCGTCAGCAAGCCTTCTATGAGCGAAGGCATAATATATTGAACGAGACATTACCTATCCAGTGCGTGTCATGCATGCGTATAACGCGTGTGTAACACCTCTATACACCGCCTATCAGACCTTTATGTAATTACACCAGAATGCTTCGTTCAAGTAACGTTCAAGCAACGTGCGACAACAACCGTCCTCAAACGACTGCAACATGGAATGCTAATCATTAGCTAGCAAGAGTGAATATGAATTGAGAATTATGTGAGCTAAACGTCCGTCGGTCATGATTTCCATGTCGCTGTTTGTCTCCAAGACGCGACAGACGTCAAACAGCTAGAGACTTGAAGTCAAAAAGCGGTCTCGAATAAAAAGCTTCAGAAAACCCGTCTTGTCAAATCCCTCAACAACATGTTTCCTCGTGTAAATATTAATTCTAATAATCATTGTTAAGTCTATTATGCTCTTAACAGGTTAGCCGAGCTACTACAATACCTTACATTATAAGATATTGATTCGTTCTTATAGAATGACGACGGTAGGGAGGCGTGAGATGTGGTTACAGAGCAGAGGAGAGCTGGCTAGTACTAGGAGAATACATCTACAATGCTTGAACTTTGATGCCAAGCATCAGTTTGGCCCCTCGGAAGCCTTCTCAACATACGGGGAAATTGTATCTATATATAAGATAAGAAAATCAAATAGTTGACTTACCCTACGGTCGAGGTATTCTGTATTGGAACCCGAAATTTTTAATCATGATATCTATCATGGATAGGTTCTTTTTCTACGTCTTCGAAACTCGCCTATCTATAGGTCACCTTTGGACCTCGGTATATGTTTGGTGCCAGCCGCGGAGGAGACATCCGCATCAAGCGCCGTCTATGTAACGGCACGGTTTTCTCAGAAATTCATGCAAGACGCCACCGTTATTCTAAGCGGGAAAGACCGTACTAAGCCCTGTAGCACCACTGGGAGCGGGGAAGATATTGAATACTACCTGGATTGATATCTTCCAAAACCGATCGAATACATTGTGGGGTTACCGAACCATACTTGCTAATACCTAACCCAGATCATTAGTCTATGGTATATTCTTCGTTGATATCCCCAGAGATTCCTGAGCCAAAAACACTAGGAATCTTTATTAAAGCAACCCGCAACGAAACTCATCTCTAATTGCAGGCGGTTCAAGTTCAGGGTTCTCATGCAGGGTATAGACTGTATACAGCGGGGTTTACTCTAGCTGGAGTCTTTCAGCTCAAGGGATACCGCGATTCTGATAAGGTCACAATCTGGATATGCACTCAGGGTAGAATAACGGAATCGGCGCGGAATTTGCTGCGAGTAATGGCAGATAAACTCCAATTGACAAATACTAACAACCCTATCCGCAGACCCTATTGGGTAGGGAAAGATCAATATTGGGTTCAGCTATGCCGGGATAACCAGAGCTGCAAGCGACGACCAAAACGGAAATCCGTGCATGTTCTTTCGTCATATTTGCAACCCCGTGGCACGTCCATGGCTATATATAAGGAAACGAAAAGTCTTGTTCTACTACGTGTTAGATTCTGTGTTATTACATCAAGAAGTGTGTTTATAATTTTCATTTATGATTGTGTTTATTTGCCATGCCCACTGATGTCGAGATGCTTGGCAGCGCACTCCTTTTTGTCACAGCACTAGTGGGTGTCATAAGGGTGACGCTTAAGTTCTTTCAAAAGAAACCAGCCCCCCTACCCCCAGGACCAAAAGGCCGTAAGTTCTTACAATAATGGCGGTTTAATTATGATCCCGGGAGTTTATACCGTTTGGAAACTGTGCAGCTAGATCCTACATGAATGAGGATTACTAACCCCAACCTATTCAGTTCCCTTTTTAGGAAATGTACTAGATCTGCCCTTAAGAGGCGAACGAGAATGCGACCACTGGTTGAAACACAAGGATGTTTACGGTCTGTAGCTTCCTACTGGCTTGTCAAATGTTATATGCAACATATTACTGACGCTTTGTGTCCGGCAGGTCCAATCAGCTCTGTCACAGCATTAGGACAAACCATTGTGATATTGCATTCGGCCGAGCTAGCTGTAGAACTCCTCGAGAAAAGATCCCTAAAATATGGAACGCGACCACCGATGGCTTTCGCAGAGAGGTAGGCAGGCTATTACCACTCGCCTAATCCATTATGTGTAGAGACTGACCTATTTCAGTGTCGGTTGGACACAGAGTGTGGCCATAATGCCTTACAATGACACCTACCGTGCTCGCCGGAAGCTTATGCATGCAATGATGGGTACTAAGACGATCGTTGCACCGTATCAAGCTCTGCAAATGGCAGAAGTGCACCGATTCCTGTTTCGTGTTCTGCGGCAGCCAGATTCACTTACCAATCACATAAAGACGTACGTAAGGTCTGTTCCCTAATTACATCATGTGCCGAACTAACACGGGAGCAACACATCAGTGAAGCGGCGGCAATAATTCTTAAAATTGTGTATGGATATACGGTAGATCCTCACAAGCCTGACCCCTTAGTCAAGCTCGTAGATGAAGCCATGGAGCAGTTTTCTGCCGCCGTAGTTGCAGGAGCCTGGCTGGTAGATGTTATGCCTGTTTGTATGTAGTTCTCTCCTACTCACGTGTCCTCAACATGCTGATAAAGCTAACATCCGCAGTGAAATATATTCCGGATTTTTTACCCGGTGGCAGGTGGAAAAGAACAAGTAGGGAGTGGCACGCCGTATTAAAGGAAACATCAGAAAAACCGTTACAATTCGCTCGGCAGCGAATGGCTAGAGGGAATAAGGACAAGAATTTTGTGACAAAATTCTATGAAGGTAAGGAAGATAATGTCACCCGCTGGGACAACGATAATATTAAGTGGTCTGCTGTAAGTACTTTGTGTTGCCGTTAAGCTCTGTTCGAATCTTTTTCTATGCCCCTACCTATTACTGGTCTGTATTGCTAATATCTAATTATCGACAGTTGACTACATATGGTGGTGGAGCGGATACCGTATGTTGGACCCTTCCTTTTGGGGATGTACCCAATAAGGCTAATTGAGAGACACTAGACGGTAAACGCTATATCGTCCTTCTTCTTGGCCATGACACTATTTCCCGAAGTTCAGCTCAAAGCCCGAGAAGAAATTGATCGGGTTGTCGGGATAGACCGGCTCCCTACTTTTAATGACCGAGAAAACCTACCCTATATCGAGGCCGTTTTGAAGGAAGCGTGGCGCTGGCATACAGTCGCCCCCATAAGTAGCCCTCACACTACCACTACCGAGGATTTCGTCAACGGGTATCGTATCCCAAAAGGAGCAATTGTGATACCTAATGTTTGGTAAGTTACTTAATATGTATTAACGAGGGCGAAATGGAGCACAACGTTGAAAGAGTCGGTTTGGGGTTTTGCTGAGCTGACCGTATGAATAGGTGGTTTACACACGACCCAGCTGTATACCCTGATCCAATGATATTCAACCCATCGCGGTATCTGGGACCGAATCCAGAACCAAATCCAACAGGCCACATTTTCGGTTACGGGCGCCGTATCTGTGCTGGTCGGTACATTGCCGATGCGTCTGTATGGCTGACCATTGCGCAGTCTTTAGCTGTATTTGATATTGGCAAGGGCGTGGATGAGACTGGTCGTGAGATCGAACCGATCGTGAATCCTCTACCTGGCATCATTAGCCGCCCCCACGAGTTTAAGACCACAATTAAGCCCAGGAGTCGTCGACATGAAGCCTTGATCCGACAGGTTGAAGAGTTGCATCCTTGGGAGGAGAGCGATGCTGCCGAGCTCCAAAAGATCATGATTTAGACACGGTTAGAAACTGATACAAGTGTGACCTATCACAAGCATATCCACACGTTGCTATGCGGGTTTGAGATATTGAGGACAAAGAAGTTGAAAGTGCTCAGTCTCATTTTCTATCACACAGAAGTGACTCTCAAACCGAATTTTCTTTTAATTCGAGTGTAGAATAACAATTCTAAGTATGACTATCTTCCCATACACCCACTTCGGTGATGGCTCCAACAGCAACGATGACCGTAGAGAGAAACGTTTTCAGTTCGAGAATGAACAGTGAGTATTGTGGTATGCATATCAGCATTGGAACTTAATGATTAAAACTTACCGTATGCCTTCTCACTAGCTCTTACGCCCGAAGACTCTTCCTACCTCACAAATCTCCCCTTAGAGGATTCAATGCCGATTCGAGATGAGGACGGTTACCCAACAACATACACGACAAGCTTACCTTACTCCTACTCCTACTCCTACTCC